TCTCCCTGCAGAACGTAGCTTAGCTCTTAACACTGGGCTTTGGTCTAGGCTTCCAAAGTCATTTATTTTATTTTATTTTTTTGAGATGGAGCCTCTCTCTTGTTTGTTGCCCAGGCTGGAGTGCAGTGGCGTGATCTCAGCTCACTGCAACCTCCCCCTCCTGGGTTCAAGCAATTCTGCCTCAGCTCCCCGAGTAGCTGGGATTACAGGCATGCACCACCACACCTCGACCTCCCAAAGTGCTGGGATTACATGCATGAGCCACCTCGCCCAGCCCCAAAGTGATTTTTAAGCAGAACACTAATAGCTCTATTTATTTTCATTCACTGCTTTCTCGTTCTGTCTCCTGGGCTTTTTGTTTATACTGTATAGAATGATGGGATGCATTTTGAAATTAAAGCAGAATCATGAAGGATCCCCCGGAGGGAGGGCGGGCATCCATCAGTTTCACAGGAGCGTGATTAGGCAGATTGACCCAGGCAAGCGCTACACTGCTGCTCACACAACCTTTTGGATCCCTTGAAAGTGACCTTGCTCAGGCTTCTTCCAGACGGATACTGAGAGAATGGCAGATAAAAGACATCTCTGGAACTGGACTGCCCCAGTTCAGATCTGGGCTCTGCCACCAACCAGAATGACCTTGGCACGTCACTGAACCCCAGGAGCTGAGCTTCTTCACCTGCAAAATAACAGTAACAAAAGTACCCACCTCATAGGGTTTTTGAGATGATTAAATGAGATGCTCCGTGCTAAGTAGTTACAACAGTGTCTGGCACATGGTCATACATGGTGGATAAAGCGAGCCTCCGCAGCGGGGGGGGGAGGGTTGTTCCTCTGTGTCGCATCCGAGAAGACGCAAAGCAGCCTTTTTCCCCGGTACTGTGAAAAGGTCACCGTGTTGTTTCTTTGTAATTGTGGTATTGAAGGTCTCGGGTCGTTAAGGTTATTTTTCAATTAGCCTTTCAGTCTCTATCTGCGGCCTTAGAGCTGGTGATTCCAGGGTTGTGACAGCTACTGTAAACGAACCTCCCGCAGAGACGTTCGGCCACATTTCCCCCGCCTCTCTCTAGGCAGCTTAGCAGCTTGTCTGCCTGTTGTATTATTTCATTACCTAACTCATTATTAGCGGTGACCTGCTGAGAGTTTTGCGGCACTGGGGAACGAGGGGCTATGAAGAGGCAGGTTCAGTCGCAGACTGTGTTGTGCGTGGGAATTTGGAAAAGGTATTTCCTGTTTGCAGAGGGAAAAGAGTGCTTTTTCCTTTATCTCTGAAGCTAAACTTTTGTTTTAGGCAAAACTTTTAACTATTAAGGACTTCCAATGTGAAACAGCTTAGGCGGCAGCAAAAGCCTGTCTGAGGCCATAACAGAGACAGAGAAAGATCTCTGCCTTCACTGCCGCCAGAAAATTACAGAAGCTCCTGAAGAAGGCTTCTAGAATGCCGGAAAGACAGATGATCGAGTTCTGAATTATACAGAGTGGCCCGTGCCTCTCACAAACCAGGTTTGCTCTTCTCGTGTGTTAGTGTGGAAAGATAATTAGAAAAGGAAACGTTCAGGTTTGATTCCAGGATCTTAGTAATTGTAGAGAGTAAGAAATGAACAAGCAGAGCTCAGGCCTCTGTGACTGCCCGTGTCTTCGAGTCTGATTGGAAGGCTTCGTGTCCACAATCCCTAGGAGTCGTATCACCCCTGTTCCTGGGAACCTGGCCTGTCGGGTGGCAGTGGATCCTGGTGGTTGTCCTGTATCAGCGCTTGATATGTTTATTAAGAGGTCTGTGGATCTTGAAAGCCCTGGTTTGTTTTCTTCCTTCCGGCAGCTGTACTTCGTGCCCCCGCTTCCACATCTGTGAGTCACTGAGCTTTGAAATGTGCTGGCGCACCGCATTAGCGCAACGTCCTCTCCCTGGGGCCCCAGAGATCATCAGGACCTCATCGTCCCCCAGATTTACTTTAACGCTGAGCACTGCAAGGTCATTTCCAGGGTTGCCACTGTTTCTTCTTCTCATATTCGCTGCAGTTTAATTTTTAGCTCTTAACACTGGACTTTTGTTACATGGGAAGAAAGAAATTTGCTCTAGCAGACAGCAGCAAATGCATTTTTCTTCTCTTCCAATTGGAAAATCACTCCCACCCAGTTTTATCCCCGGGGGGTTCGTGGTCTGAGGGTACTTGTGTGTTTTTGGATGTGAGCGGGGACTGTGTTCCTATTTTGTTGCCCTCCACCCCCGCCGCCCTTTGTTTTTTGTATGACCCTCATTTGGCTTCTGTACACAGAAACAGTCACTTCTCTTCAGGCTGTCCTGTGTCTTTGTGACACTGCCCCTAATTTGCTTGTGAATATGCTGTAAAAGATACAAGTCATGATTAGGCTCAGTAAACATTACAGTGTTTCTTGACTCTCATGCCCTGAATGCCTGCTGATGTCATGGTGCCCACCTCTTCCCTGGTTGGTAGAGTGTGGCCTGAGGTGGCACTGCCCTTTGATAAACTGGAACATAGAGGAGAGCGGTGACCTCCTCAGGGTGTACAGGGAGCTGGGGCCAGGATTGGAGCCCGTGTTTCCTGATTTCACCCCATTGTTCTTCCTCGGGGACACTTCTTTCTGGGAGTGTACACAACACAGTCGCAGTTGTGACTGCATTTATTAAATATCAAATGGACGCCAAGCCCATTATCTCTCATTTTCATAATTCTGCAAAGCAGAGTTTTACAGATAAAGAACCTGAGACTGAGAGAAGCTGCATTACTTGCTCAGAGCCACTCACCTGGTCTTGGGCAGAGTCCAGATTGGGCCCAAGTGTGTCAGAAGCCTGCCCTGTGTTCTTACTGCATTGCAGAGGGTTGATGCCAACTCCAGTGATAAGTAGTAAGAAATCAGAAATCTGCGTGCCGGCTCCCATCCCTTCACTTGACTGGCAGACGATGACTCTATGGCTGCTCTGTGCCAAGCACATACTGGGCACCAGAGAGCAAGACGGACGGGAGCTGATCTGAGCAGCTCTCATTTCCACGCAGTTTCCCCTCACTGTCCGCGCACCGTCTTCTGCACACCCCCAGCCTCTTTCATGACCCAGTTTCGCCCACGCACGATGCTCTGATGCCGCCTCCTTTCTGTGTCTCTAGCCACTTCAGGGCGAGGGCCACGCCGCGGCATCTCACGGAGACTGGCTGTGTGCGGCACCTGTGGGCCTTCCCGCGCTCTCTAGTTAGTGGCGCTGAGAACTTGCGGAGGGAGCCTGTGCGTCTCCGACGTGTTCTGCGCGTTGCCTTCTTGGCTCTTCCTCGCCGCTTTATGTGGCGTAGCTGTCGTCACTATCCCCATGTGAGCGAAACAAACACTCAAAAAGCACCCAGCTCAGAGAGCACAGACAGCTCGCCTCAGATGCTGCTGCTGGTAATCGTTAAGCCAGGCTTTGGGCCGAGGCCGATGAACCCACCAGCCTGTGCAGTGCAGACACTCGGGACAGGCTCATGAAACAGGGCAAAGAAAAAGGTCTTTTTACCAATCTATACGTAAACAAAAACACATCTGAAATCAGCTTGTAACTATGGGTATCCCTGAATTGTGAGAAAAGCTAGCATAGACTGAGCCCTCACCTGTCTTAGGCAGTTGCAAATTTTTTTTTCTTTTTTCTTTTCTTTTTCTTTTTTTTTTTTTTTTTGAGATGCAGTCTTGCTTGGTCGCCCAGGCTGGAATGCAATGGCAATGGTAGGATCTCAGCTCACTACAACCTCCGCCTCCCGGGCTCAAGTGATTCTACTGCCTCAGCCTCCCAAGTAGCTGGGGCTACAGGCACCCACCACCATGCCTGGCTAATTTTTGTATTTTTAGTAGAGACGGGGTTTCCCCATGTTGGCCAGGCTGTTCTTGAAACTCCTGAACTCAGGTGATTCATCCGCCTCAGCCACCCAAAGTGCTGGGATTACAGGCGTGAACCCCACACCCAGCCAGGCGACACTTTAAATATGTATCTCATTTAATTTGTGGTAACCTCAAAAGGTAAGCATTACCCCTTAGCTTTTGGAGGGAGCATGCCAGAAGGCCGATGCCTCCAGGAGGGCGTTGTTTACCGTGTGGATAAGTGCCCATTCTTTCTGAAGCTCTAGACCCTCCTGTGCATCTTCATTGGTTGAGCTAGTTTTGGCCATGAAAGACAATTGCAAAGCCGTAGTAGTTTAAGCAAGAGAGAAGTGTAAATGCAGCCAGCCACGGCACACCACGCACCTCCCTTCAGCTGTCTTCTGTCTTGTGGCCCTGCCGTCCTTAACACAGGTGAGCATTTCCCCTTCCCACACGCGAAGCAGTTGAGGCTTAGAGAAGTGTGGTGACTCGCCTGAAGTTACACAGCAGGTCGCTGTCAGAACCCGCATGCAGATTCTCCTGACTCCAAACCTACGGCTGCCTCCCAGGATCCCATTTCTTCTCTCTGGATAAGAGTCGGATCAGGTCCACGGAGAAAAGAACTGCAGTTTGGCAGGTCCCACCACAACAGCAGGGAGAAGAAGGCAGGGTGCTGGAAGAGCAGGCAGACCGGCCCTTTCCCAAAAGCAGCAGACGAATCTTGCCACCCCGTAGGCGGCTACCAGCTTTGCAGTGAGACAGAGAGAGGATGAGATTTTTAAATCACAGTGCAGCTCCTGTTACCATGAGAGGAAAGGGGTATCCTTGCTGGCCATAGGAAGCGGCGGACATGGGAGTGCAGGACTGGGAGGGACTAAGTGGCTCCGACAGTCATGCCAGAGAGGGCTGAGCAGCTCTGAAGGGGCCTGCACCCGGGCCATCTGGAGACGGGCCAGCCCACAGCCTCGTCAAGGAGGGGTCCGGAGGGACAGGCCAGCTTCTAACTGACGTCAGTATGTATCTCACTGACTGCTGGGAGCAGGGACTGTTTTCAAAGAACGAAGGAAGCCCCGTGTGCTGCTTCAGCACGGTGTGGAGCAAGTTCGGAGGCCCCCAGCCACACGATGTTGCTGATCTTGGCGGTTTTTGTTTTTCAGGCAACCTCAGAGCCTGTTCTGGATCCACAGCAAATCCAAGCATTTGATCAGCTTTGCCACCTCTACCGAGGAAGCTCCAGGGTAATGTTCGCCTGGCTCTTTATATTTTTATTTCCCTATATGTCATTTCCTGCTTTAGAAAGGCAGTGTCTCTGAACCTCCCTGTAGCCCTCCCCCAGCCTGGAAGGTGCCCTGGCATCCCTGTTATGGCTACATGGACAACAGACCCTGGTCCCAGGGAGCACTCAGAGCTTGGCAAAGGGGCAAAGGAAGTGGGAAGCTGTCTGTCCCTTACCTGCCATGAGTTGTGAGGACACAGAAGCGCTTCTGTGTTTGACCTCCTCCAGAGAGAGCAGGCCGGAAGGCTGGTACCTCAGGAGGGCTTTGTTTGCTATGCGGATAAGCGCCCATTCTGTCCGAAGCCCTAGACCCTCCTGGGCATCTGCACTGGCTAAGCTAGTTTTGGCCACGGAAGACACATGCACAGTAGTAGTGGTTTAAGCAAGAGAGAAGCGTAAATGCAGCCAGCCAGGGCACACCACGCACCTCCCGTCAGCTGTCTTCTGTCTTGTGGCTCTGCCGTCCTTAACGTGTGACTTCAACTTGGATGGTCCAGCGTGGTGGCTTCCACTTACCTCCGTTGTCTAGAATGTAGACCCATGGCCACACCTAACTGCAGTGGAGACTGGGAAAATTGGTCTTGATTCCTAAAGACCTTGGGCTGAAATTATTGGTCTACTCTAACTGTGGAAGAGGAGCACAGACTGGAGGGTGGCCAGCAGTCACTGCCACCGCATCAGACCGGGTGTCCCCCAGGCACTTCACACATGTGTTCATCTACTGTCTCCACCTGTTCTTCTGTGCCTAGGGCCTGCCTCAGGAATGGCACCTCTGCCATCCAGCCACCCAGAGCAGAGACCTGGCAGCACTAGGCTCAGCCCTCACCTTCCTTCCCCCCGACTGAGGACGTCCTGTGGGGTCTTCTCTGCTAATCCCCTTTGTGCCACCACCCCGGGTCGGGTCTCCTTATCATGCATGGAGGCCACTGCAGGTCCTGATTGGCTAGAAACCCTTCTGCCCCTTCTCCATGCGGCTGCCTGGCTACCCTTTCTAAACCCAAATGTGTCGTGTCACTCCCTTGCTGAAGACATGTTCTGGATCTCCGCCACCTAAAGAACGAGTCCAGACCCTGCCCCCTCCACCACTCCCAAAGCCCACCTCAATCCTAGCTGCTTGCATGTGCTCCTGAGCTCACGGTGAGCTTGTGCAAACCGCTGCATGCTCGGCGTCTCTGCCTGGGCTCCCCTCGCCCACTCCCCTTTCTTAGGCAGAACCTGCTGGGTTACTTGGTAGCCCAGGGGAAAAATGTGGTGTTCCTTCTTTGAGAGTTGATGTGGGCAGAGGTTGTTATTTCAGGAAGCTTCTCCAGGGTCTCCTGGGTGCGGCCCGGCAGCTTTATTGAGCTGGCATCACCCCCATCCCTCCCCAGCCTCAGCCACGCTGCGCCCCAGGAGTTGGGTTTCTGGGTCTTCCAAGGAGGTTCTTCTGCTTCAAACTGTTGAGCTGTTATTTAGGGCTCATTGGTTTCCAGATCACAAAGTGGCCAAGGCAGAACACGAGCATCCCTCTTCCTGGGAAATACAAGGCTTTTGTTACCGCTGTTTCTGCGGTTGCTCTTCACCTCAGCGTCAGGATGTGAAGGCGCTGACTTGAGCTTCTGTTGCCCATTCTGCTCAAAGCATTGCACGTAACAGTCATTGCAGGGAACTTCGCGGGCTGATGGGCACGGGGAGGGTTGTGGAAGAAAGGAAGTGGCAGGAGGTGGACTTGGACAGAGCAAGCGACATCTCTCGGTCCCTGCCCGATGGCTTGAGTGGGCCTTCCGGGCACTTGCAGTCAAAGCTTCAGTCAGAGCGACCGGCTCGTCGGTCAGACCGCAGGTGTGTCTCCAGGCCAGGACCTGGGTTATTTTTGATAAATTGACATGTAGGAAGCTTCAGATGTCTCCCCAGTCACCACAGACAGTGGCACTGAGTTTTCAACAGAAGTGACAAATGGACACGTGAGCTTGTGCCACCGTTGCCAGAGTTTGGAGGGCCCCTCAAGGACATGGTGCCTGGCAGGTGACTCCACGCCGCCACTTCCCGCTGGTGACCTAGGGCAAGTCACTTGTCAGGCTCCAGGCTTTCTGCCCCAGAGGGATGTTACGGAGGACTAGAAATCACACACATGGCAAGGACCTAGCAAAGTGCCCGTGGCGGAAAGACGCTCGATACTGCCACGAGTGGCGATTCGACATCCCCTCGGACTTCCGACGTTGCGTGGACGCAGACAGGTGGCCCTGAGGAGTGTGGTGGCCGGCTCGTCTCAGCTGCACATGCCCCATGGGCCAGGCTTTCACCGCCTGCATGTGAGCCCACGAGGGTCCCTTAGAGTGCAGGTCGCGGGACACGACGGCCCCTCCCACAGGGCCCAACTCCCGTTATTAGGGAACGTGTTTGCCTTGGCTCTGAGTTTTCCAAGTTAGCTCTGTGGGGTGGAAGTTAACTCACAGTGTTCTGGGAAGCAACAGGCAAAGACCCTAATCAGGCAGGAGGTCTGAGGACCTTGGGTGTAGAATTCGTCTCTTCTCTGACCATCAAGGGCACCTCAGAGCCAGGCTGCCAGCTCCCTACCTTCGTGAGGGAAGGCCCCTCTGAGTGGCAGCGGCTGGCTCCCCAGCAGGCCATGCCAGGATCGCCTGCTATCCTCTCTCCTCCTTGGCAGCTCTTCCAGAACTGAGCCACTGACAAAGCGAGGGCACTGCTGGTATCATGGGTGGGAATCAGGAAGCTGGGAGCAGGGGGACTTGGAGGAGAAGGTAGAATCCAGGAGTTGGACTCGGGAGCCCCTGAGTTTGAGTTGGCGCTGTGTGTCTGTGTGAAGCCTTCTGGGCTGCAGAAGAGCGGTCAGAGCCAGTGGTGAGAATGAGTCATTCCCTCCGAGGAGAGTGTACCAAGAGGGGGAGCCTGGCACCAGCAGAGCTCAGCATGCAGCTCCTCAGCTCAGGGGCGCCCACAGGGAGAGGAGGGCGGCAGCAGGGCAGTCCTCAGTGGGGGCTCTCCAGAGCCGGGCAGAGCAGTGTGTGTGCCCTTGGGAGCGAACCAGTCCAATGTCATTATTGAACGAGGAAATACAGGCCCTAAAAACTGAAGTGAACGTGCCCAGAGCCACGCTGCTAGTTTGCGACGTACAGACCTGAGATCCGAATGCAGGGTTTTCACTGCTCCTGCAAGACAGTGCTGCCTCCCGTGTGTCTGAAGCAGGAAGTAGGAGGCTCTGCACCTCTGTTACACACCCCCTTCCCCCTGTCCCCACAAGTCTTAGCTGATGTGTGTCCCTCCTTTGCAGCTGGCTCTTCTCACAGAACTCTCCCAGAATCGCAGCAGCGAGAGCTCTAGGTCATTCAGTGGCTCCCAGGGTGGCCCTGCTTTCAACAGCATCTTCCAGAACGAGAACTTCCAGCTGCAGCTCATTCCCCCTCCTGTGACTGAGGACTGATGACTCCGTGGAGCCTGGCCCGGGAGAACCAGCGACCATCCCGAAGCAGCTGGGGAGAGGCCCCGCCTCTGGTGGGCTCGGCCTCTACTGCCTCCCACACTTCTGAGAAGAGGTTCCACATTGGGCTTCCATGCCCAGGGCGTCCACACCACCATTCCCAGTGTAGACTCCCTGCCTTCACACTGTTGTCGTGCGCCAGCTCACCTGACTGGCTGGTTTTGTTTTGCTTGTTAAGCAAAGGAATGTCAGTACCTCTGTCCAGCTTTTTAGGAAGTACATTTTGCCTACTGAGACTTTTTCCCTTTTCCCCTGAAGCCTGGAAAGTGGATGGAACTCACACTAATGGCATTACGGAGTCTGCCGCACGCCGCCTCCCGCAGCTGGCGGGCGATACAGAGGAGCCTCACCTTCTGCGGAGAACAGTGGTTGGCCAGGCTGCAACATAGCTGAAATAGGCCTTGGAGCAGAGACATGGAGGGGCCAGGGCCATCTCCCTTTTAATGTGTTCACTCGAAACCTTATGTGAGTGTAAGACTTGCTCTTTCTAAGAATAAATGCCTCTGTGTCCACAGGTCTCCTGGCCAGCTCTCAGTCTGTCAGGTCTGGAGGACATTTAGAGCCCTGTTCACAATTTTATTAGCCCAAAGTCAGGAACCTGATCGTGACCACCTTCATAATTCAAATAAGCAGCTCCATCCTCAGCTGTCTTCAGAGCCACCCAAATGATCCTGTGACTGGGGCAAGGCTGCCAAAGAGAATACCACTCACTCAGTTTTTGGCCATGGGACTTGGTTTATCGTTGAACCAGCCCCCACAGGAGGTCACCACACGCAGTGCCTAGGTTTCCACCTCACACGCTCCGATGGCCTTTTCCTCTGCACTGGAATGATCAGGCTCTCATGGACTGATACCAACCAAACCTACAGGAAATCCATATGTAAACTAGATATACATTTTTTTTTTTGAGACAGAGTTTTGCTCTTGCTGCTCAGGCTGGAGTGCAGTGGCACGGTCTCAGCTCACTGTAACCTTCACCTCCCAGGTTCAAGTGATTCTCCTGCCTCAGCGTCTCAAGTAGCTGGGATTACAGGCACCCACCACCACACCCAGCTGATTTTTATATTTTTAGTAGAGATGAGATTTCACCATGTTGGCCAAGCTGGTCTTGAACTCCTAATCTCAGGTGGTCTGCCCGCTTCGGCCTTGCAAAGTGTTGTAATTACAGGTGTGAGCCACCGGGCCCAGCCGATACAAATTTTTAACCCTTAAATAGAAAATAGATCCTGCTTGTACCATGTACTACCTGTAATCAGCAAATCGGTTAACCTTGCTAAGCTTCTGTTTCTTTATAAATAGAACTGTTGTGAAGATGAAATAATACATGTAAACTTTTGCTATGTGCTGTGCAGGCACATGGCAAATACCCCAGAAATGCTAGCTGGGCTTTTTGATATGACTTCTCGTAAGACCTGGGCTACAAGGGCACTGCTTCCTAACGAAGGTATCAGGAGACAAAATTGAGGGACATGGTTGAACATTAACTCATCACCATTCAGATGCCTGCTGCAGCTGTATGACATAGTCTCAACCCCAGTTTACAGATGAGAAAGCTGAGGCTCAGAGGTGACAAGTAATTTCACCCGTACCGAAGAGGTAGCAGAGCCCGGGGAGTTCAGACTCGCGATTCCGGAGTCAGGGACGCTACCTGCCTGAAGTTATGCATCAAAACCTTTCTCACTGAGCCTAAAATTAATGCCAAAGCAACTTGATATTCTCAAAGCAAAACTCAGTGATTTCCCTTCTTCTTTTGCAGTATAAAGAACCAAGGCAAAAGGAATATTCAATATAAAAATGTAAATTGTGGGCCAGGCACGGTGGCTCAGGCCTGTAATGCCAGCACTTTGGGAGGCCAAGGTGGGTGGATCACGAAGTCAGGAGTTCAAGACCAGCCTGGCCAACATGGTAAAACCCTGTCTTTACTAAAAATACAAATTTAGCCGAGCATGGTGTCAGGCGCCTGTAATCCCAGCTACTCGAGAGGCTGAGGCAGAGAACTGCTTGAAACTAGAGCGGTGAGACGAGATCACGCCATTGCACTAAGGCTGGAGGAAAGAGCAAAACTCTATCTCCAAAAAAAAAAGTAAATTGTGACATCAAAAACACAAAATGTGTTTGGGAGGGGTGAGGTAAAAGCAGAACTTTATGCAATCAAAGTTGTAATAAGCTTAAAATAACCTGTTATAACTAAGATGTTTTTTGTAAGCTTCATGGTAACCACAAAGCAAGAAATTATAGTAGATAGATAAAAGATAAAAAGCAAGGAATAAAAGCATACCACTAGAGAAAAATCATCTAATCAATCAGAAAGCAAGAGAGGAAGAAAGGAAAAGGATCTACAAAACAATGAACAGAATTGCAGTGATAAGTCCTTACCTTTCAATAGTTACCTTGAATGTGAATAGATTAGATATGCCAATCAAAAGACAGAGTGGCCGATTGGATTAAAAATAAGATCCAACTATATGCTGCCTAAAAGAAACTGGCTTCACCATTAAGGACACACGTAACTTGAAAATGAAGGATGGAAAAAGATATTCTGTGCAAAGGAAACCGTAAGACAGCGGGAGTAGCTATACTTAGATAAAATAGACTTTAAGTCAAAACTGTCAAATGAGACAAAGTTATATAATAATACGTATAATAAATGTAATATATAATAATTATATTCATCAGGAACATACAACAGTTGCAAATATATATGCACCTAACATGAGAGCACCTAAATCTATATGTAAAGCAAATTATAAATCTGAAGAGAGAAACCGAAATACAATAATAATGGAGGACTTCAACAATGGACACATTATCCAGACAGAGAAGTAATGCAGAAACACTGGACTTGAATTACACATTAGACTTAACAGACATACACAGAACATTCCATTCAACAGCATGAAAATACACATTTTTCTCAAGGGCACATCGAACATTCTCCAGGATAGACCATATTTTAAGAAATTTAAGATTGAAAATCATAACAGGTATTTTTTCTGACCATAATGGTATGAAACTAGAAATCAGTAATAGGAATTTTAAGAAATTCACAAATCTGTGGAAATTGAACGTGTTCCTCAACAACCAATGGAGACAAAGAAGAAAGTAATCAGAAAGTTTAAAAATATCTGGAGACAAGTGAGAATGGAAATAACATCCCATAAAAATACCATTTATGGTGTGTGGCAAAAGCAGCTAAAGAGGAAAATGTATAGCTATAAAGCCCTACATCAAGAAAGAAGAAAATCTCCAAATAACCTATTGACATAACAATCTAAGGAACTATAAAAAGAACAAACCAAGCCTAGAGTTGGTAAGAGGAAGAAAATAATAAAGATCAGAGCAGAAATAAATGAAATAGAGACTAGAACTAGAAAAATAATTTTTAAAAATTAGTGAAATTAAGAGGTTTTTGTTTAAGGCAGCCTGTTGCTTTGTCACGCAGACGGAGGGCATAGAACAATCACTGCTCACTGCAGCCTCACCCTCCTGGCTTCAAGCAAGCCTCCTGCCTCAGCCTCCTGAGTAGCTCGAACTACAGGGGCATGCCCCCATGCCCAGCTTGCTTTTTTTTTTTTTTTTTTTTTTGGTAAGGGCATGGTTTCACTATGTTGCCCAGGCTGGTCTCAAAAAACTCCTGGCTCAACAAGCCATCCTCCCACCTTGGCCTCCCAAAATGTTGGGATTATAGATATGAACCACTGTGCCTGGCCAAGAGTTGTTTTTTTTGAAGGATAAACAAAACCAATAAACCTTTAGCTAGACTGAGAAAAAAAGAAAACTCAAAATCAGAAATAAAAGATGAGACATTATAATTGATACTACAGAAGTAAGAAGAATCATAATACTGCAGGCAAGCATACATGAATAAATTGGATAGCCTAGAAGAAATAGATAAATTTCAAAACACATATACTACCTACCAAGACTAAATCATGACGAAATAGAAAACCCAAGCAGAACAATAACAAATAATTAGATTGAATCAGTAATTTAAAAGTCTCCCAGCAAAGGAAAGTCCAGGACCAAATGTCTTCTCTGCTGAGTTCTACCAACCACTTGTAAAATAATTAGTACCAATTCTTTTAAAGCTATTCCAAATAATTGAAGTGGAGGGAACTCTTCCTAACTCCTTTTACAAAGCCAGCCTAACCCAGATACTAAAACCAGCAAAGACACAACAACAACAAAAAAGAAAATTATAGGCCGGGCACAGTGGCTCACGCCTGTAATCCTGCACTTTGGGAGGCCAAGGCAGGTGGATCACCTGAGGTCGGGAGTTTGAGACCAGCTGATCAACATGGAGAAACCCCATCTCTAATAAAAACACAAAAATTAGCCGGGCATGGTGGCACATGCCTGTAATCTAATCCCAGCTATTTGGGAAGCTGAGGCGGGAGAATTGCTTGAACCCAGGGAGCAGAGGTTGTGGTGAGCCAAGATCGCACCATTGGACTCCAGCCTGGGCGACAAGAGCAAAACTCCCATCTCCAAAAAAAAAAAAGAGAATATTATAGGCCAGCATCCCTCATGAACATAGCTGCAAAAATCCTCAAGAAAATACTAGTTAACTAGGTTGCATACAGTGGCTCATGCCTGTAATCCCAGCACTTTTGGAGGCCAAGGCAGGTGGATCACCTGAAGTCAGGAATTCGAGACCAGCCCAGCCAACATGGTGAAACCCTGTCTCTACTAAAAATACAAAAATCAGCCTGGCGTGGTAGCCCATGCCTGTAGTCCCAGCTACTTGGGAGGCTGAAGCAGGAGAATCACTCGAACCCAGAAAGTGGAGGTTGCAGTGAGCCAAGATTGCACCACCGCACTCCAGCCTGGGTGACAGAGTGAGACTCTGTCTCACAC